TTTTTAAAATTTGTCAAATATTTCTAAACTTGTCAATGGCTTATAGAGACCAAAAAATCAAAGGTCTATAGTCTCATTTATAAGTCAATTACTTTGGTACTTATTCTTTCAGTTTTTACGATAACAACTGAAAGAGCATTTTCTGCCATGAAAATTGTGAAAATAAGATTTCGCAACAAAATGGAAAATGAATTTTTTTCAAACTCTTTAATTGTTTATATTAAAAAAGAAATAATTCAGATATTTAATGTAAACTCTATTATAAATGGATTTTGTGATATGAGGACTCGTCAAGTGTTATTTTAATTTATAGTATAAAAGTAAACTTTTAAAATTATAATATATTATTTTGAAATTTGAAAATCTGACCTCCCATGACTAAAATTTTTGGCTCCACCCCTGATAAAGAGGAGGAAAGATTATATAAAACAAAATTAAATAAATACACCTATTTAATCAGTACTACTATGTTTTTTTAATACAAGTAAATAAAACTAAATATTAACCACAAAATTTATAATTAAAAATATATACACATAACTTCATTATCATACGCTACATAACTTATGATTACTCTTAACTCAAGTGGTTGATGCACCTACCCTCACTTTTAACTTCGAATTAAGACCTGATGAATTGGATTTTCTCTCCTCCTCAAACAATAACTGACCAAAAAAAAAAGAAAAATGAAAAAAATAAGAAGTACCCACGAGACTAATTAACTAAGTTGTGGATATAAATAATTCTTCTCTGACTTTTCACATTAACTATATCGGATCAACGTTGATCTTTTGTAACTATTGAATAAGATATTCAAAGTATCTTTCTACCAAAAAACTATTTTATTTCCACAGCCTGTCTAATAAAACAAATCCAAAACACTCATTAAATCAACCGGATACTGCCAAAAAAGATATATTAGAAATGAGGATCCACAAATTAATCACCACCAAATATTTTCATTTTTATCCATTTTCACAGTCAGATATCGAGTTAGCATATAGTTTATATACTTCCTAATTAGATTAATATAGTGGCCAGGAGGGATATCTCAACATATGACATGTACATGCTTATGTCTATACTTGCCTGATTCATCCCTTTAAAATTAACTTAATTTTTCTCATTACGTGTAGATTTATTTTTTGTAATTCATATATTATTTAATTTCTTTGTGCTAGGATCCTATAGAATTTAAGATTATAATTCATATTTATTACTTTTCAAGTTCCATTAAGGGAAGGGTCCAACTGAACTCCATCACCAATCTTTAGTGTCCTTTAGGTTTATTTAATTCAATTTCCTTAAGGGCAGGGTCCAATGGAAAAGTTCGTATCCTATTCTGTAAAATGATTTGTTAGGAATATCCTCAATTAGCAAACTTTGAAAAGGTTGTATCCTTGATCGATTTTTCTTTTTTCCTTTTTCTTTGAATATTTGCCTTGGCCCAAAAAAGAACTTTGAATATTTTACCGGGCTTTTCTACAGATCAATGCAACCCAACGAAGTTGCCCCTAAAGGGCCTAACTGGGCCTTCAGACTATTCCTTTAAGGCGTTAATCTGAATTTAGATTATTCGGCCTAAACATTTGATAGACGTTGGGTAAACTGCCTGTTTGGTACCCAAACTTAAAATTGTGAAACCTGAAACCCTAAAGTTATTAAATTATACCACTCAAATATTGATATATTGTTGACAGCATGTGAAATTCCAACGAGACTCTAGTTTGACAAATAGCTCTTAAAGTGGAGTGAATGTGCAAATAAGGATGTCAACTTTGTACTTTTTTCTATTTAAAAATATTAATTTTGTTAATTTTTAAATAAAAATATCAACTTTCAATTTTTTCTAAATAAGGATGTCAACTTTTAATTTTTTTTTATTTAAAAATGTTAATTTTCAATTTTTTCTATTTAAGGATTAATTGGGTGGTGATGCTTATGTGGCTAACATATTTTTTAAGGTTAAATACTTGAATTGGTCCCTTAACTTTTATTTTTAAACAAATTCATTCTTGAACTTCAAAAAGTACCGAAAACATCCTTCAACTTCAATTTTCAGCACCAATTTCGTCTTCTCGTCAGTTAAGTGCTGATATAACTAATTTTTTTGCTAAGTGATTGACTATTTTACATTTTAAATATTAGGTAGAAAATCCATCATGTAAAAGATGATTA